TTAATATTTATAGTTTTAGTTATGCAGCCAGTGTGTTTCCAAGTTTTAATTTAATTGTAATTCTATTTGTTTTATTTATTCGTTATTGTGAGCCGTCCCGAGGCTGTGTAGCAATGGGGACGGCATATAAAAACTTTAAATAATAATAATAATAATAATAATAATAATAATAATAATTGTCAGAAAGTACTTCCTGATGGTTAGGACCCCTATGATATGGGATGGGCTTTCAAGGGAGGTGGTTGAGGCCCCATCAGTGAGAGTGTTCAAGGAAAGATTGGAGAACCATATGTTGGGGATTACATGAGCAGAGCTGGTTGGAGCCGGGGGTCAGACAAGATGGCCCTGGAGATCCCTTCTGACTTGCTATGTTTCTACCTCATTCATTCTGCCAGGGATGGGTGACAGGCACTGAGAGGCCATTGGATCAATGGCTTCTTCCCTTTCTGCCCACTGGCCCATGCCCAAGTTTTCTTTCTTTTTTCTTTTCTCAGGTCATGGAGCTTTCTGCTGCAGTTGGAAGCTGGATCCACAGTAAGATCCAGGTCAGGTCAAAACCTTTTTATTTAACTGTTATTTTAAAAGTTAGTATTTTAATGTACAGTCACTTTTTACTTAAAACATTTTTTTATTCGCTATGTTATTTATTATTGTTAGAGATTGTTTTAGTGTACTTGATTTTAATGATTGTAAGCCGTCCTGAGATGCCATGCTTAAGGGACAGCATATAAAATTTTTAAATAAAATAAAATAAATAAGATCTCCAAAGTCAGAGCTCTTTCTAAATCCTCGGAGCAGGAGGAGACTGACTGCATCCAGGACAGCACTCTAAAATGAGTAGTTTTATGTAGAAATTGAAAAGAAATTTTCCTAGCAAAAACCTCCTGTGAATGCAATATAAATTTACCTAGTTTGTCATGGTGTTGTTCATGAAAACATTTTTTTTATGTTAAGTTATTCCTTTCAATAGAATTGTTCACACTTTGCAGTTAGACTGCAATCCTGCATAGTTAAAAGGCAGTTTCTATCTCCTGGGATTCCTTGAAGTGCCAAGGCCAGAGGATTTGATAATACATTTCAAGCTTTACTAAAATTACCTTGCCTTCAGGCAGCCGCAGGTTATGCTCTTCTCACTTTACTTTAATGTGTACTCATTCTCTTGATCCAAATCAGAATTAACTGACAGGAATTTTAAAGTCCTGATAGTCCAATAATGCAAGCAAGCTTACTAGCAAGACTTCCATTAACTTACTACAATAACTTCAGAAAACAGCATTGGTTAACAGAAGTAAAAATCTACCATCCTTATTCTACACAGAGAGTAAAAACAATTAATTCAAGTGAGTTTTGACCATGTTTAGTTGCCTATTCTATTTACTGAGCCCAATGATTGGTAGTCAGATTTTGAGGAAATTAAAACTTCTACATGCTATGTTGTTGTTGTTAGTTATGAAGTCATGTCCAACCCATCGCAACCCCATGGACAACACTCCTCCAGCCCTTCCTTTCCTCCACCATCCCCCAGAATCCACTTAAGCTCACGCCAAGTGCTTCAGTGACTCCATCTAGCCACCTCATCCTCTGCCATCCCCTTCTTCTTTTGCCATCTGTTGTTCCTAGCATTCGACTCTTTTCCAGGGAGTCCTTCCTTCTCATTAGGAGGCCAAAGTATTTGAGTTTCATCTTCTGGATCTGGCCTTCTAAAGAGCAGTCAGGGTTGATCTCCTCTAGGACTGACCGGTTTGATCGCCTTGTGGTCCAAGGGACTTGCAGGAGTCTCCTCCAACACCACAATTCAAAGGCCTCAATCCTTTTGCGCTCAGCCCTCCTTATGGTCCAGCTTTCACAGCCATACATTGCAACTGGGAAAACCATAGCCTAGTTTTGCCATAGCTTTCCTCCCCAGGAGCAAGTGTCTTTTAATTTCTTGGCTGCAGTCCCCATCTCCCGTGATCTTGGAGCCCAGGAAAATAAAATCTGTCACTACATCCATTTCTTCCCCATCTATATGCCAGGAAGTGAGAGGACCGGATGCCATTATCTTAGTTTTCTTAATGTTGAGTGTCAAGCCATCTTTCGTGCATCAAGAGGCTCTTTAGTGCCTCTTCACTTTCTGCCATTAGAGTGGTATCATCTGCATATCTGAGGTTGTTGATATTTCTCCCAGCAATCTTAATTCCAACTGGTGATTCTTCTAGCCCCGCCTTTCTCATGATGTGCTCTGCATATAAGTTAAATAGGCAGGGCGACAGTATACAGCCTTGCCGAACTCCTTTCTCAGTTTTGAACCAATCAGTGGTTCCGTGTCCAGTTCTCACTGTTGCTTCTTGACCTGCATATAGGTTTCTCAAGAGACAAATAAGATGGTCTGGTATTCCCATCTCTTTAAGCACACAAATTGCCACAATTTGTTGTGATCCACACAATCAAAGGTTTTAGCATAGTCAATGAAGCAGAAGTAGATGTTTTTCTGGAACTCCCTAGCTTTCTCCATGATCCAGCGTATGTTGGCAATTTGATCTCTAATTCCTCTCCCTCTTCGAAATCCTGCCTGTACTTCTGGTAGTTCTCGGTCCACATACCGCTGGAGCCTAGCTTGTAGAATTTTGAGCATAACTTTGCTAGCATGTGAAATGAATGAAATGGTGCGGTAGTTTGAACATTCTTTGGCATTGCCCTTCTTTGGGATCAGAATGTAAAACTGACCTTTTCCAATCCGGTGGCCACTGCTGAGTTTTCCAAATTTGCTGGCATATTGAGTGTAGCACTTTTACTCCATCGTCTTTTAGGATTTTGAATAGCTCAACTGGAATACTGTTGCCTCCACTAGCTTTGTTGTTGCTCAGACTTCCTAAGGCCCATTTGACTTCACATTCGAGGATTTCTGGCTCGGGGTCAGTGACCACCCCATCGTGGTTGTCAGGGACATTAAGCTCTTTCTTGTATAATTCCTCTCTGTAATCTTGCCACCTCTTCTTAATCTCTTCTGCCTCTGTTAGGTCCCTGCCATTTTGGTCCTTTATCATGCCCATCTTTGTATGAAACATTCCCTTCATATCTCCAATTTTCTTGAAGAGATCTCTGGTCCTTCCTATTCTATTGTTTTCTTCTATTTCTGTGCAGTGTTCAGTTAAGAAGGCATTCCTATCTCTTCTAGCTATTTTCTGGAATTCTGCATTCAATTGGGTGTATCCTTCCTTTTCTCCCTTGCCTTTCACTTCCCTTCTTTCCTCAGCAATTTGTAAAGCTTCCTCAGACAGCCATTTTGCTTTCTTACATTTAATTTTCTTTGGGATGGTTTTAGTTGCTGCCTCTTGTACAATGTTGCAAACCTCCATCCATAGTTCTTCAGGCACTCTGTCTATCAGATCTAATTCCTTAAATCTATGTGTCACCTCTACTGTACATTCATCAGGGAAATGATTTAGGTCATACCTGAGTGGCCTAGTGCTTTTCCCTACTTTCTTCAACTTAAGCCTAAATTTCGCAACCAGAAGCTCATGCTCTGAGCCACAGTCAGCTCCTGGTCTAGTTTTTACTGACTGTATAGAGCTTCTCCATCTTTGGCTGAAGAGCACATAGTCAATCTGATTTCTGTGTTGACCGTCTGGTGATGTCCATGTGTAGAGTTGTCTCTTGGGTTGTTGGAAAAGAGTGTTTGCTATGACCATCGTATTCTCTTGACAAAATTCTACCAGCCTGTGCCCTGCTTCATTTTGTAGTCCAAGGCCAAACTTGCCTGTTATTCTGGTTATCTTTTGGCTCCCCACTTTAGCATTCCAATCCCCCATGATGATAAGGACATCATTTTTTGGAGTTAATTCTAGAAGGTGTTGTAGGCCTTCATAGAACAGGTCAACTTCAGCCTCTTCAGCACCAGTGGTTGGGGCATAGACTTGGACTTGTGATGTTGAATGGATTGCCTTGGATTCGTACTGAGATCATTCTGTCATTTTGGAGATTGTATCCCAGTACTGCTTTTCCTACTCTTTTATTGACTATGAAGGCTACTCTACCCATAAAGATTTCTTCTGAGGGATTCTTGCCCACAGTAGTATACCTGATGGTCATCTGAATTAAATGCATCCATTCCTGTCCATTTTAGTTCACTGATTCCAAAGATGTCGATGTTCAGTCTTGTCATCTCTTGTTTGCCCACATCCAGCTTGCCTTGATTCATGGATCTTACATTCCAGTTCCTGTGGAGTATAGGTCTTTGCAGCATCAGACTCTCCTTTCACCACCAGATACATCAGCAACTGTGTGTCCTTTCGGCTTTGACCCAGTCGCTTCATTCTTTCTGGCGCTACTAGTACTAGCCCTCTGCTCTTCCCCAGTAGCATATTGGACACCTTCTGACCTGAGGGGCTCATCTTCCGGCGTCATATCTTTTTGCCTTTTGGTACTGTCCATGGGGTTTTCATGGCAAAGATACTGGAGTGGGTTGCCATTTCCTTCTGCAGTGGATCATGTTTTGTCAGAGCTCTCTGCTATGGCCTGTCCGTCTTGGGTGACCCTGCACGGCATAGCTCATAGCTTCTTTGAGCTACGCAAGCCCCTTTGCCATGACAGGGCAGTGATTCATGAAGGAGAAGATACAATTTATGAATAAATCTTAGGATTTATTCATACATATTTCATTTTTCATTTATTATTATAAATGGAAAACAAAAACACCAAAAAAGAACAGAGGGAGGGCAGGCGGGCAGGTGGCTGGACAGCCAGAATGACAGTCTTCAATCAAGGTGCAGATAAATTGTGAGAAACCATTACAATGAAAAGGCATTGCAAACATAAGAATTAAATCAAAATAATAGATGTGCCAGAGGTGAAGGATTGTGCTAGACATCAGATTTTATTCTCTACTCCTCACCCTGAATGTGTGATTATTACTAGGCTTGGCACCAACCCTAAGGGAGTAGAAGGAACAAAAAAATTGTTTTGCTGAAATTTTAGTGAAAAAGCAATCATTTTATAATATCTTTTCACACAATTCTTAATGCCAATATCAGTATGAGTGCTGACTTCAAGATCATCTCCCACCCCATCCAGAAAATATTTGTTCCACTCTGAAACCACTATATAATTGTTCAGGTATATATACATAAGTAAAATCATTCTGATCCACAAGTTCAATCTTTCACCTATTCATATACCAAAATATAATGTTTTCTGACTCAAGTACTAACATCCCTCCAAATATCAGTTTCCTTACAACAATGCCCTGTTTTGCCACTGTGTCCTCTGCCATCCCTGGCATTATGCCCCTGCCACATCTGGCAAGTTTACTTGCTTACACCATGGACTGCTGGCAAATGACAGGCTGCACCTCACAAAGAATGGGAAGCAGATATTTGGCCACTACATGAAAAACTTCATCAGGAGAGCTTTAAACTAAACCCTTCAGGGGAGGGAGATGTGCAGCATGGTATACCAGCACCTGGCAAAGACTCATATATTTCAACAGAGAAAAAACCTCAAGCAGGGCCAACACCAGTCTCCCAAAAAACATAGGAGGAAAACCAGGGCACAGCAAGAATTAATTTTGATGTCTCTACACCAATGCCCAGATTATGGGAAATAAACAAAACAAACTCGAGCTCATAGTACATGAGGGAAATTGTATCTTATAGGAATAATTGAAACTTGGTGGAATGACTCTCCTGGCTAGAACTCTACAATTGATGGATACAACCTGTTTAAGAAAAATAGGACAAAAAGGGAGGTGGAGTTGCACTATATGTAAGAGACACATATATCTGCACAGAAATAAGAGGAACTTCATGCTCCATTGAAAGCATCTGGTTAAATTTAAAGGGAGAAAAAAATAAGAAAAACATAGTTATTGGCATCCATCCTGTCAAAAAGAGAACAAGGATGCAACCGTCAAAAAGCAAATTACCAGCATTTCCTAGACTGATGCAGTCTTCATGGGGGACTTCAATTTCTCCGATATATGCTGGGAGACGATTTCTGCCAAGCATGGCCCCTCCAAGAGATTCCTGACATGCGTTGCCGACAACTTCCTCCAGCAGAAGGTAGAGGTAGGAACAAAAAGAGCAGCTATCCTTGATTTAATACTAACTTATGCAGATGGCCTGGTGGACAAAATAACAACTGTGGGAACTCTGGGGGAAAGTGATCATGCAATACTTGAATTCTCAATCGTAATGGAGACAAAGGGTAACTGGAGCCAAACAAGCAATGTTAATGTTAAATATGGATCACAATACTCGGGACTGAAGCTAGAGTTGGGAAAATCATAATGGTTAAACAGATTTATATACTAACATGGAATGTGCAAGGTCTACAGACAAATTTAAAAAGGCGTAAAATACAATGTATTGAATAAGAGTACAAATGATGTGGTATTTTTACAGGAAACTCATCAGAAAAGGGAAGGGTTAAATGAAATTAAAGGGAATTGGATAGATGTTTATGAAAAATGTTTTAGAACTTCAAAATTTAGAGGTGTAGCTATTATAATATCTAGGGATGTGAATTTAAAGTTGAGAAGGTAGTTAAGATCAAGAAGGAAGACACATTATAATTCAGGAGCAAGTGAAGGAGAGAATTGTACTTTAGGGAATACCTATGCTCCAAATGTTAACAAAGAACAATTTATGCAGAAGGTTTTAGCAATATTGGAAAAAACTAGGAAAGGATTTGTGATTTTGGGAGAGGATTGTAATATGGTAATGGATAAAGTGAATGATAAATCCTCTTGGAAACAAAACGAAGAACAAAATAGATATACTAAACTATATAAGATGATAAATAGGACAGATTTGAAAGATGTCTGGAGAGAGCTAAAGGATTCAATAATAGATTACTTATTTATATCTAATGATATAATAACTACAGTTAAGAATGTAGATATGGGGGTAATTCAGATTTCAGATCATGCTAGAGTGCAAATGGAATTGTCTTTAAACCATATTATATGGAAGCCAAAAGATGGAGATTAGATACTAATATTTTCAGATATAAAAAGACTATTGATAAGATGCAGAGAGACATAGAGGAGATCAGTAAAATATATGAACAGGGGGAGGGGAAATTTAGTATGATATGGGACACGATGAAGGCAGTATCAAGGGTTCTAGCAATTAAAGCTGGATATGAGATAAGGATAAATGAATTAGAAAGTAACTTATATGAATTAGAAAAAGAATTTATTGCGACTAGAGAAGAATTAATTTGAAAAGAAATCCAGCCCCCCACCAAAAAAAAAAAAAAAAAAAGAATTAGAAGGTATACATATGGAAAAGGTGCAGAGAAACTTAATATATTTGAACAGACAATTTTTTGAGTATGGAAATAGAAATTCTAAATTATTAGCACAAGCCTCGCAGATAAAGAAAAGGAAGAGAATATTGGAATGATAGAGAATGAAGAAGGAATAAGATGCAGTAAGATGAAGGAGAAATTAAAAGCATTTCAAGAATTTTATAAAAAATTGTATACAGCCTCAGGGGTAGCTACAAATAAAGTTATAGAATATGAGAAAAATAACTTGGAAAAGAAGCTTGATATACAAGACAAAGAAGAAATGAAAAATGAAATTACTGATGACAAAACTGAATCAGTAATAAATAAATTGAAAATTGGTAAAACCCCTGAGATAGATAGACTAGGCCCTGAATTATATAAGTTTTTGTGCAAATTAATGATACCCAAATTGAAAATTTTGATGAATAAAATTGTAGAAGGTGAGGAGATCCCCCCCCCCATCATGGAAGGAATATCTGTTTTAATATTGAAGCCTGGAAAAGATGCAGTAAATATGGGTTCTTATAGACCAATCTCCCTGATAAATCAAGACACAATTTTTTTCTGCAATTCTAATAGATTGTACACCTTTATTGGAAAATATATTAATAAAGATCAAAATGGCTTCCTGAAAGATAGCAGATGTCTTGAGGAGAGTTCTGAATATTATACATCTAGCAACAAAAAATAGTTTAAAAGCTGGGATTTTAGCATTAGATATCTTTAAGGCATTTAATTCGGTGGAATGGGATACATTAAAAATTGTGATAGATAATATGGGATTTGGAGTTAAGTTTAAACATTGTATAATTATGTAAAGATAACACCACAAGAGTCTTGGTAAATGATGGAATCACAGATATATCTCTAGGCTGGGGAAGACATCAAGGATGCCCCTTGTCTCCTATTTTATTTGTGATGGTTATGGAAGTATTAGCTACTGTAATCAGGAAAGATGCAGAACTGAAAGGAATTGGATTCAAAGAGGAAGTTAAGGTAAATTTATTTGCTGATGATACCCTATTAACATTAGAGGATCCTATAAAAGTTATAGATAGACTTAAGCTGCATTTACAAGAATTTCAGGACATAGAACATAGAAACAGAGCGAGTCAGAAGTGGTCTCCCAGGCCATCTAGTCTGACCTCCGGCACCAGCCGGCTCCGCTCATGACATGCTCACCATGTGGACGATAACTGGACTAAAAGTTAATAGGGACAAATCTGAAATTATGTTAATTAATTATAACAAAGAAGATAAGGCCAAACTGAAAGACTTATTTGAAGGGAAAAGGAGGGATACAATTAAATATTTGAGAATTTATATTACATACACAAAATTGCAAAACTGAATATGAATTGTCTTAAAAAACAAAGAAGTATATTAAGGAGTTTGATAAGGCCAAACTATCTTGGTTTGGTAGCATTACAGTATGCAAAATGAAGATTATTCCCAAAATTTATTTCCTTTTTCAGATGCTACCCATTAAGATTGCAGATTCTGATTTGAAAAGTTGGCAGAATATGATTAATCCCTTTTGTAATGGGATTAAAATTAATAAAAATTTATGGTATAAACCCCAAAAGGAAGGAGGATCAGGCTTACCAAATATTAAAACATACCATTTCGCAAATCAAATAAGATATATTTTAGATATAATGATCTACAAAGAGTTACTTTGGAGTGATGTTTTATTCAAAAAGGATAGAAGTTGTATGGAACATATTTTATTTAGGGAAGATAATATTCTAAATTTAAAGAAAATAGAAAATCCATTTCTAAAGAATATGTTGGAATTATGGAGATATAGTAGGAAGCTTTTAAGCCTGGTAATTTCCCCAGTAACTCCAGTAACTGCAATGAAAAATTTTCCCAAGAATTTGAAAGGTGAGTTATGGAGAGTATTAAGAGAACAGAACATATTTAGACTGAAGGACTGGCTAAAAATTTTTGATAATAAAGAGAAAATGGGTCAAATATGCGCAGAATTGAAGGGTTCGGGTTGGAAGATGATTCAGTTACAAAATTGGGCAGTGGAAACAAGGAAAACACTTGGTGAAATAAGAAAATTAACTAAATTTGTAGAACTGGTAGAGAGTACACAGAAGGAAGGTAATAGTAATAGGAAAGGAATTACAAGTTTAATATATAAAATGCTAATAGAAGGGCAGTATGGGCGATGTAGACTTTTGGAAAGTTGGCAAGATGATATGAGTAAATATATTAGTCAAGTAAACCGGTTGAAACTATGGAATAACAGAATTAGAAAGAGTAAAGGAGAATTGTTTTCAAGTAATTTGGAAGTGGAATAATACACCGGTAAGGTTAAACAAAATAAATACTGAAATTCCACCTCTTTGTTGGAGGTGCAAAAAGGAACAGGGGACTTATGATCATATGTGGTGGTTGTGCAAAATTAAACAGAAAGAATGGGCAATGATATTTAAGGAAATTAGTGATATTACAGATAGAAAGATTTTGATGTGCCCAATTATTGCACTTTTGAATACTTTTTCAGATTCGCAATTAGACAGAGCACAACAAGAATTGATTATCATTATGGTTACCGCTGCCAGATTACTAGTGGCTAACAATTGGAAAGTTATAGATTTAATCAACATTGCTGACTGGTACAATGAAATGTGGAACGACAAATAACATGTGATTTGAAAATTAGAAGAGGCGAAAGGAAAATAAATGATTTTACAAGTATATGGAATGGGTTTTTTTACTACAGTAGACTCCCAACTATCCGGCCTAATGTGGTGGAAGGGCAGGCCGGATAGGCCAGAGTTCTATAAATGCTCACTTCCTACCCCACCCATACTATTAAAAACACCCTTTTTATACCAAAACCCACTCTTATTAATATTTTCTGACCTCTTTGCACAGAACAGTACTTTATAAATGTTTGTTATGTACTGTACGTTTTAAAAATTTATTACAGAAAAAGGAAGTCCAAGGATAAAAATATCCAAGGTGACCTGATTGTGAACCCTGCAAGTGCCTGCAGCACCAGGACCACATCTATAGGTGCTATGTGGATTGGAGCCTGTGCTAGCATGCTGTGCTGCTGAGAGTTCTGGAAGGCTCTATACAAGACTTCTTTGTGCGGCTCAGCAGGGCCAGAATATGAATCCTTGTGGTGGCTGCTTCATGTATTTAGTTCTTCTGACAGTTTTGCCTTCAAACTGTGTCTTGACTCCTGTCTCTTTTGCCTCTTGCATGACAACACCTTGCCAAGTACTTGATTCTTGCCTTCACCTACAGTCCTGCTAGGCCTTGGTAGCTGATCCTTGCCCACTCCTGCCCTTGCCTTTGACTCTGGTTCTTTTATGCCAGTTGGTGCAAGACCATCACTGCTTTCCAATTCTGCCTTCACTTTAGGTCATGTCATTCGTTGTCGATGCCTGACTTTGCTTGTCCCTAACTCTGATTTTGGCCCTACTGCATCATGCCGAAAACTCCATTATCCCTGGCCGTGGTGCTCCAGCTGCAGACATCTGCTTCCTACATCCTGGACATAGCAAGAGAAGGAAAGCCTGCCGTGTTTGTCAGCACTTATCATAGAAGGGCAGCAAGCTCTTTGTCCTCTGACAGCAAGCTAGTAAACATTTGTGCAACCCAGTAATTTTTATGTGCATTAAATTAGTCCAAGGGCTCTCTAAGTGGATTACAGAAGTATAATTATAACATCTGATAAAACATATAACAATCAACAAAATGCCACTGAGGGATCAGATATAAATAGATTGAAACAATACTACTAAAATTGTACAATGTAAAATCACATTTTAAAAATCAATTATTAAAATGTCTGGAGAATAGGATCATTTTTGAATGGCATGGAAAGGATTGTAATGATGACTCCAGCTGCTCTCAGAAGGCCATTCCATAAATGGGATGCATCCATTAGCCATCCTCATTACCTCCTTGGAGCATGACTCTTTCAGAAGGGCCTCCTCACCCAATCTTAGGGATTGGGTAACTACATATAGGAACAGGCAGTCCTTTATGTATCCTGGACACAAGCCATTTAGGGCTTTATAAGTTAGCACAAACACCTTAAATTGGGTCTGGAATTCAAGAGGTAACCAATGTAGGCAGCACAGTTTTGGAGTACCATAGGTATGCAGTCCTGCTTGCACCAGCAGTCAAGCCACCCTGTTTTGTACCAGTGGAAGTTTCCAGACCATCTTCAAGGGCAGCTCCATGTAAAATGCTTTACAATAGTCCAGTCGAGACTGTGTATGTCTCCGGTTAGGCTCTGCCTATCCAGGTATTCCTGCAGTTGATAAAATAAATGTAGCTGAAAGATGGTACCTCTGACCACTGAGTCTACCTGAGACTCAAATGATAGTTTGGGGTCTAGGAGCACCCTCAACCTACAAACCCTGTCCTTCAGGGGGAGTGCAACCACATCCAGGACAACTTGAATGCCCACCTTCTGGGCAGACAGACCATCCACCAGCAGTACCTTCATCTTACCTGGATTGAGCTTCAATTGACTGACCCTTATCCAGTCCATTATCAAGCTCAAGTAGTGATTCAGGACCAAAACCATCTCACCAGGGTTAGATGTAGTGCTGGGTGCCATCAGCATACAACCTCCAAATAATCCCTCCCAGTGGTTTCATGTAGATGTTAAACAGTATGGGGGACAGTACAGAACCCTGAAAAAACCCACAGTATAATTGTCATGGGGCAGAACAACTGTCCCCCAGCACCACCTTCTGGAGTGGAATCACCACAATGTGGTGCCTCCAACTCCCAACCCAACCAGCCTGTCCAGAAGGACACCATGGTTGATGGTGCCAAAAGCCACTGAGAGGTCCAGCAGAATCAACAGGGTCACACTCCCTCTGTCCCTCTCTCAGCAAAGGTCATCCCACAGGGCAACCAAGGCAGTGTCCATTCCAAACACTGGCTTAAAGCCTGATTGAAATGGATCTAGATAATCTACTTCATCCAAGAGTGCCTGGAGTTGCTCAGCCACTACCTGCTCAAGCATCTTGCCCAGAAATGGGATGTTCATAACAGGCCTATAATTTACAACAGGCCCTGGGTCCAGCTTTGGTTTTTTAAGGAGTGGTTGTATCACAGCCT